AAATTAATTTGAATTAATTGTTAACATTTAAGAATTCGATTCTCAGGTTGGATAAATATTTTACTCCTCAAATGAGACGCGTGACTATTAGATCACTTTTTGGTGAAGTTCATAACAGTAGTAGAGTTCGAAATTCCAAACCATCTCACCCAATCACTCAAGATTTGAAATTGAACCATTAAGCTTAAAAGTCCAGTAAAACTCGGCTCTATTCAGATTTCAGAGAGTCCCCCTTCCATTGCTGCTTTTATTTGAGTTTTGTTTTAATTTAAGAAAGAACAATGTAACGTGTACCAAAAAAAAAAAAATAAAAAGAACAATGTAACGGGCAAGAAATACTTATTAAGTAGGCTCTCCATATTTTGTTTCTTCTTCTTCTTTTTTAAATTTTATTTTAAATAATATTTTTTTAATTAATTTTTTAGTATCTAATTATCACATTGAGTATAAACTAATCTGAAATCGAATCACGTCAGATACTATTAAAGGAAAAGCTCTCCCAACACCTATTACTCCATTCACAAGACTCGAATTCCTTTCACTCGAATTAACGTATCGTCAATTTTATATAATATTTTTTCATCATCTAAAGTTTAACTTTATTATATTTATATATCTTATAACTCAAGTTTAATACATTTTAATTAAATGTTAAATTATTTAAGTCGTTACCTCTTAGTTTGTTACTAATTTTAAACAAGAAAATCATTATAATTCTCTGGAAATCATTTTCCGCGAACCAAATGTACGACGGCTATGGGAGTGTATAAAGGAATGGCTGGTAAACCTGTGATTCTTCCTGAGATTTTAAAAGCAGCTTCGAGGAGTTCTAAAACATAGTGTAAGGATCCAGAGACTACTTTTGGACCAATTCTATAGTTTCTGATATCCACAGCAAAGTATGGCAGCCAGAGACTTTCCATTCCCAGGAATCACAGTTCATCCAGTACAGATTCTCATTCATAGCTCTCATAACATGAGACTTCCTTGATAACCAGAAAAAAGGGTTATATTACTTAAGTTAGCTATAAGCACTAGCAGTTTACAGAAATCACAGGTCCATAATCTTCATGAAACGGCTTGTTTCTTAATCCGGCTGGTTGATGGACTGAGCTTCGGCTGATAATTAGCTCCGCATTCAAATTATCAGAAGGTGGTCTCTTGGGTCAGCTAGCATGCTGACTAAGTGTTTCTCCTCTCGGTGCCAACATCAAGGTCTTCCATCTCACAACCATCCAAGGAAGTGTAATTATTGTTCACACTTGGCTCAGAGCAATTGCTGCTCGTTGCAATAGGAGAATCTGAAACACTGACGGACCTGCTCTTTGTGGATCCTGATCTTACACTGTATATTGAGGAAGCTGGAACGTTTGTCACAAGCGGGCGTTGATTACCTGAAATGCTCCTTCTGATGTCCTGCATGAGAAAAGACTCAAATATGTCAGTGCAAATTGAACCCTAAGCATTTAAAGGATTACATGTTGATCAAAGGAAGAAAAGTTATAATCCAAATATGAAGTTCAAATTTACACAAGATGTCAGGCACACATGATCTAGGTTACTAAAGATGGGCTACCTAACCATATCATGCATTTACAGTTGATCTAATTAATCAATGCAAGCTGGCAAGCTGGTATGCATTTGTCATTAAGCTCCAGGATTGTGGTAACATAAGAGAATAAATACTTACCATATGTCTCAAAGCCATATCTAGAGATTTCTTTGAGAGTGTTCTCCCGAAGCCTGAGCTGTCCATGGAAGAAGACAACTTCCCAGCAGGATTCTTACTGTTAGACAGGTCATAATCCTGCTTTGGAGGTGCCAGTTTCCTCATGTTTACCACTCGCTCAACCATTTTTGTTCCAATTACTACTGGACTCTCATTATCACTATTGTTTGAAGCTGCTCTCCGTCCAGGACGAATGGAACTGCCATTACCATGGGCACTGCCACTTGATGTCCGAGACCTAGAAGGTGAACAGGATTGTCGTCTTGGTCTTCCATTAGAACTAGCCTCAACAGAAGATGATCTAAGACTAGGTGCTCCTGGCCTGCCACGGGAGGCTGAAGCTGGCCTTTCAGGCAAAGATGTTCTTAAATTTGGTGGTGTGTCTAGTGAAAAGCCAGGCATCTCAGAAGGTTTCCAAGGCCTAGACCTCACTGTTGGAGATGTGCCTCGTGATGGCACAGGATTTTTCAATGGAGCAGGACCTGACTTTGTCAATGAGGAAGATTGATCAGGATGTGCAGCTGCACAAGGTGCACTGGATGTAGTCGGTCGACGCGTTGGTGTAGCTGGGCGGCGCGTTGGTGTAGCTGGTCTTGATGTTGACTTGGAAGTTGGAACAGAGGGTCTGGCAGTTGGTGTTGAAGAACGCACGGTGGATCTTGTAGGAGTTGAGGATCTTGCTGAAGAAGCAGCAGGCTTTGTAGAAGGCAAAGTGGCTCGCGAAGTAGGCGTTGATGATCTTGAAGGCTTGGTTGCTACTATAGGTAAAGTGGGCCTGCTGGTTGGCGTTGAAGGTCTACTAGCAGATCTTGGTGCCCCTGAAGATGATGGCCTTCGATTACTGGTGCTCCTATTACTGGCAATGGAAGAGTTCTGTCCAGTTGCCAAAGTTGGATGTTTAAGTGCTAGAGTAGTTCTTGAAGCAGGTTCATGAGGGAGATTCTCAAGCTGCAATGCCAAGGCAAAATAAATTTGCAAGACATGGCATTAACAAAAAAAAACCAGAATCTCTATTAACGAAAGGAAGAAAATCTGGAAAATTGTCATAACTTGACAACCATAAAAAACTCATAACTATACATGCCAAGAGATCAGCTGCTCCTAGGACCTAGTATGGGATGAATGAAAGCATTAACAGTGTAAGTTAATTGTAGAAAAGCACAGGCTGATCTGTCCAAATGGAAAGACTTGTGAGCATAAACAACTCAAAATTACATCCAGACTCCTTACCCTTGATTTTAGCACAGTTTGACGGGCATTATAAATCCCATTCTGACTCATAATAGTTTTCTGTGCATCCTTCTCCAAAGAGGGAAACAATGGCGTTCCAGGCGGAGTAAGAAGCCTGAATTTAGAAGATATTAGCCATCAGTACAGAACTAAAGAACAAATCTTTCTTAGATCAAATCACCACCATTGATTACATCCATATTCATAATTAAAATCATTCACATCATCTTAGGAAATTAGATTCTATCCTAGAAATTTAGGAAAAGAAAAAGATCAGAAAAAGTGACAAGGGACTCAAGCTCACATGAGCCCTCAACCTAAAGACTAAAGCCAAGTGATTCAAGACCTCACATAGTGAGTAATGATTGCTCCAAAACTTTATACAAAGGATTAGTAGGATCACATGATCCTCTTTAACAAGTAATTGCTAAAACTAAAAGATTTTGCGAAAAGCACTAGCTCCTCTAAGGTCCAAACATCATCACTTCAAATATTCAAAAAAAAAAAAAATATACTGATTTAAAAAAAAAAAAAGAAAAGAAAAGTAGAAGAAGCATCGTGAACGCCGTAATAATTC